GAACATGCTAACCTGCTATGTTATTGAAGCCAACACCTGGTGATCACTTTATTGGCCATATACAATAGGGTCTAGAGAGGGGGCAGTGTAGGGGGCCCCATAGAGGTATGCTTTGCATTCCTAACAAGGAAAGTGTTTCGATGACTCTGCACTACTGCACTAGATCCCCACACTACTGTTTGACATTCACATCATGCCCAAGTAACCCTCTTGTGCAAACTGTAACACTGTAACTGTGAGGGCAGGAGGGGACAACAGTGCAGGTCCCATGAATGACACTGGAGTCATTCCAGTAGGGAAAATCATCTCAGCCTTGAAAGAGGCCAGTTCAGTGGGGACCTTGGAAGGCCACCATTGAAGATAAGATCACTTTATTGGCCATATACAATTGTCTTGAATTAGGAATTTGTCTTTTCACATACCCCAGCTTGCTCTCCATGAGACACACAAACGGGGAGAGAAGCTTAGGATCACAGCGTAGTGTCAGCCATTTATACGGCACCCCTGGAGCTGTTGGAGTTAAGGGTCTTGTTCAGGAGCCCAGTGGAGTAGGAGTCCTCTGCCGGCCGCAGGATACGAACCGGCAACCTTTCGGCCACCAGCGCAGATCCTTAGCCACAGAGTCACCGCACCGGCCCATAATAAACTACTACCAGGATACTACCGGGCTTGATGAGCCGAAGGGCCTCCTCTCATTTTGTAACTCTTGAATGTTCTGTCAAACATGATGGTGGAAAACTTACGTTACTGTAATACGGTACTGCTTTTCATCAGCAGTGACTATGAACCTTGTAAGGACTGATGAGAACATACTGTAGATGAAGCAAAGTAGTGGCAAATCTTAGGGGTAAAACTGCTTCTGACCTCAAACTGGGACACAATTCATAGGAAAATGATCTAAAGCACAATTCATTTTCTTATTCTTAAGCCATTTCAGTGTATGTCCTCAAGAGGCCCTAATACCTGACTTTGAGAATCTGTGGAAATACTGTTAATCCAAGCAACTTGAGAGTTCAAGTCTGTCAAGAAGAAAGGGCAAAAACTGCTCCAAGCTGGAGTGCAAAGGAGAGATCTACCCAGAAAGACTTGTGACAAATGCTGCCAAAGGTGCTTATATAAAATACTGAGTTCACAGATCAGAATACTTATGCAATTAATATGTTTCATGTTTTTCTCTTTACCTTTTACTGTAACACTGTATCACTAACAGTTACAGATATTGTTACTTATGGTAAGTGACTATGGAAGTGTGTCTAAGAATCTGAATAATCTCTCTGTTAAAAATGGCTTCTACTGGTTATTGGTGCATTTTTAAAATATGGAGATTCTTATTCATTTGGTGGTATCTAGGTTTACACAGAGACAGTTTTAACCTCAGGTTAAAATCTATTCTAGAAGGCAGCTTTACCTTATTCTGTCCTTTGTACGCGTTATGGCGTTATTGGCAAAATCCTTTCAAACTATGTGATTATTTATTTTACTTATTGATTTATCCACTTTGTCAATTTCCTGATTTTCTCCATTTTTGTAACATTACTTACCCTTCAAAGACTTCAGATTGAGCATTCAAGTTTTTAATAAAATATTAATTAAAAAAAATGAGCATGCATCATTTTGTAATCTCACAAAATGTGACACCATAGAAAGGGTAAGAATATTTTGCTCTGCATCAGTACTCCCTTCTCAGATAAAAACCCTTAGCTGAGAAAACAAACATTCAGCTATAATATTAAGGACAGACACCAGAGGAGCTGAAAACGAGGCCTCCTGTAAAAAGACTGGTGTTGGCAAAACAAATGGACCCCAATGAAAACATGTTCAGCTTTTTATTGCATTTAGGAGGATGCCGTGAGCTAGAGGTAACATCTTCATAAAGTTAATATAGTTTATCCTTTAAAAACTTTAAAAAGAACAGAAGGACAAATCCTTACATCCCAGGATATGAATAAACATAAGAAAATAACGACCACGAATTTACCTAATGAGATTGAAAGTGTTCTTCTAGACTGTTCATGGCTTACATTTTTGCATAGTAGATAACTCCATATCAAATAGCACATTCGGATCCAGTCGTGGTTACTATAAATAAGTTTCAAAACAGAGATACATTAATTCCAGTTTTGCTGCAGTTAGAAGCTGGGAACACCAATAAGAAAAGAATACAAATTCAATCACGCCTCTTAAACTTTAGGGATTACATACAATTTCTATGTATCAAGTTTAGCCAAGACACCATGCTTTACCATTCATCGGCTTCAAACTTTCAGGATCTACCTGAACTTCAGCAGTTAAAAACTGCACAAACCTCCCCAGAGCTATTATGCTCACATCATCAAAAATTCAGATTACTTTTAATCTTCTGAAATTCTCAAGGCAGAGTCCTTCATACCTACAAAATACCAAACAAAGGACCTCTTTGAGGTTTCAACAAATAGACCATATTAATAATCTGGAATGTCAGACTATCCTGATGCAGTAAGAGCACACAACTGCCCTACACAGATAGTAATTAGCAGACCACTATCAGAGTCATAGTGATATATATTACTTTGTTACTCTGTTGTGAGCAGGTGAAACTGTATCCATCAGAGACTGTGTAAAATAATGTAAAAAGACACATTCTTCAAAATGTATAGAAAATCTAAAACAGTAGGAGTAAAATCCCTCGTTTGTAACAAAGTGTTCAATGGCAACTGCATTTTCTGACCAATGTATTTTTCCCTTAAATGAGAAGTGATACAGATCTCAGAGAGCCTTAGGCCCCCTGGAAGCTCACTAGGACTTCACCATATTGCCATGCAGTGTAAAATGCTCAGGAATGTGGGTGATAATTATGCTCATATACTTTATGGTCACATATTAGGACTTCTCACTGAATACTGTTGTGACAGGCCTTCCTCTCCTCAGGTGGCTCATGAGGCCTGAGCACATGGAAAAAACTCAACGTTAAGAAAAATACTGTTTATTCAAGCAAAGTTCATTGGTATATACAAACAATCTCCTCTAACAATCCAATACCAACTATCAACAGGAATCCCTGTATACTGTGCCATCCATTCATTTTCTAACCTCTTTATCCAATTCAGGATCGCAGGGGTTGGCAAGCTAAGAGTGCAAGGCAGGATACGCCCTTCACAGGACGCCAGTCCACTCAAATACACACACACAGTCACACCAGGGCCAACTTTCCCAGAAGCCAAATAACCTTCCAGTCCGTCTTTGGACTGTGGGAAGAAACCCATGTGAACAAGGGGAGAAGATACACACTCAACACAGACAGCACCCCAGGTCTAGAACTAAAACCAAGGCTCCATATAATCTGTGGATGTTTTCAGTATTATGTGGTGCCACCAAGATGATGCAGAAGAGAGCAAAAAATAGCCCCTAATGGATCTTAATTTCGGAATCATTCGGCTTTACGCATGGAAGGTTATTGAAGGAATTAAGTTAGTCTTTTGTAAATACAAATTAGCGGTTATTGAGAATATTATCAATGACCCGTAAGTTATTCAGTAACTACAAAGTATGCAAGCCAGTGTTTTCAGAAAGCTAAATTAAATAGTTCAATTTCATTCTATTAAATGCTTAATTCTAGATTGCATGTCAATCTAACATACATGTATTTAAAAATATCTGTATCTTGAACTATGACCTTGATTGCCACACACTTAGCTCTCTTTAAAACAAATTCAGACAGTCAACAGTCACTGCATTTAGCATGCTACTGCTCTGGGTTAATATTTATTTCCATAAATTGTTGCATGTTCAGTATGATGTTCTTGTTTAATGCAACAATGTATTCGGATCACTCACATGAACTCCACTCATTTGCACTGCAAACTTATTTATCTAATTTTATCTCATGGACCTTCCAGTGAACTCATGATTCAATCCCTTCCCACTTTAAAACATATTTATAATCACCAGTGGCTTTAGACAGGAAGTGTCATCACATATGTAACAAAACACAGTCCACATAAGCACAGTAATAACCATGTGCATGTAATCAACTAAAACCAAACAAGGCTTGCTGCACAAACAGGAATTGGTGAATTTATATCAGATAATTCACCAATTAAAGTAAGAGCAAAAAAACAATGAAAAGAGCAGAAAGATACACACCATTTTCAGAATGGACCTCAGAATGAAACGCCAAATGTGCTAGCTTGCTTTTCAAAGCATTTTCATTGAGAAGTATAAATTATTCCAAAGCATTATTTTTACAATGTAAATTAACTAAATTAACACATTAGGCTAACTTCATGGAATATAAGAGATTCTTAAGAGAGAAGACCTCCAACTCCAGACCTATTTGTACACCAATCAGGCATACTTGCACTGTTCATTAGCAGAGGGAACAACTTTATAATTTACTGGGTCATTATTACAAGGCCCAACCTGGTATAATAGGTTTAAAAAGGCTAGCACAAGAGAAATGGGTAGATGATGATGAGGTAAGTTCTTAAGAGTCCAACGTTATGCAGAGTGCAAAGACAAGCCAAGCCGCGAACTGCCAACTCTTTCAGAAAATGTTACCTTTCTTAAGTTTAAAACCTGCCTCTTTTAACATGAAAGTTGGTGAAACAATTTATTTTATTTCAAATACACTTTCCAAAATGTATTTAGAAAACTGTCATTTGAAAAATATGAAAAATAAGTTGAATAAATAAATTTGCAAACTATGAGAATGTACTCATAACTCACAACTAATGATTTTTTTCTAGATGGATCAAAAGGAATAAAAGACTAATAATAACAGAAAGATAACTTCTGTATCATAGTTATTGTACATCTCAACAAGTAGGAAACAGCGATTCCATTCTATTTCAGCTAATGCTTATGAAATTATTGTTTTGAAACTGTCTTTTAAACACAAAAACCTTCATCCTCAACTTCATCCTCTTCCCCTGACAATTACTAAATAAACCCTCCTGAGAGAGTGTCAAGGTGCACAGGAGTGTGGTCCACAGAACAAGGGCTCATACTGTCACAGCAATTACCTGCTCGTTGTATGGAGTCAGTGAGAATCCTATCTGGCGTGTCATACTTTGTGTGGTAGATGAATCCACTTTCGATGAAGGCCAAATCAATTCCTGCAGAGAAAATCAACAACCATGTACCGAAATAGAAACAGCAAGGGCACAAACTGGTGTCTAATTGACATATATGTTAAGCAGAACAAGAATATACAACTTATATGCATATGTAGGAATCTGTAACCATGTAATACAACTACAAAGTTTTGGTTACATTACCAAAATCTAGCAATGTAATTTAAGCAGAATGATCCTGCTTTGAAGATATAGCAAACTTGTGATATTACACATATAAAACACACTTTGCTCATTTTAAGATTTTACAGTAATATGGCCCCTGCTGACTATTTTCACAAACTGCAGAAGTACTTAATGAAACAACTCTAAAAAGGACAGGGAAAAGATTACAGAATAATAAACACAAATGTGTAAAAAACAAAAGGAAATTATTATGGTTTAACTTCTTAATGAGCTGTATCCAGTGCACATAATATTTCAGCCTCTGTACAAAATATGATTTTATTCAAAGCTGCTTAAACTGGTTACAGTGCTGTGAAAAAGTATTTGCCCTATAATGCCCTGATTTCCTCTATAATTGCAGATTTGTGACGTTGAATGTTTTCAGGTCTACAACCAAAATCTAATATTAGATAAAGGGAACCTGACTGAACAAATAACACATTCGTTTTAAGTATTTCATTTATTTAATGAACAAAGTTATCAAACACCAACTGGCACAGTCTGAAAAAGTAATTGTAGTTAAATAAACCCAATTAAAGGGATAATTTAGAGTCAGCTGATTGAACAGCCAGGCTTGATTATAGCCAGCCCTGCTCAATATTAACCTCTCTTGTTTTGACCCTTACCATCAGAGTCAAGTTGCCAGCACAAAGATTCAACAAGCACATTATGCCATGATCAAAGGAAATTCCTGAAGGGATCAGAAAAAAAGTTGTTGATATCAATCAGTTTGGAAAGGGTTACAAAGCCATTTCCAAGTCCCTGGGACTCCACCGAACCACACTGAGGGCCATAATCTCCAAATGGAGATTACTTGGAACAGTAGTGAATTTGAGCTTTATGGGAGACTAGCAAGTTGGAAACCACTGCTAACCAAGAAGAACAGAACTGCTTATCTCTCATTTGTCAAGAAGCACCTGGATGATCCCCAAGCCTTTGGGAGAATGTTATATGGGTAGATGAGTCAAAAGTGGAACGTTTTGGACGACATGGGTCCCATTATATCTGGTGTAAAGAAAACACAGCAATTCACAGTAAGAACATCATACCAACAGTCAAACATGGTGGTGCTAGTGTGATGGTGTGGGGATGCTTTGCTGCCTCAGGACCTGAACGACTTGCCATAATTGAAGGAACCATGAATTCTGCTCTGTATCAGAAATTCTTAAGGAGAATGTCTGGTCATCTGTCCGTGAGCTGAAGCTGAAGCATAGTTGGGTCATGCAGCAAGACAATGATCCAAAACACAAAAGCAAGTCCACATCAGAATGGCTGAAAAGAAGCTAAATTAAAGTTTTGGAGTGACCAAGTCAAAGTCCAGATGTAAACCCAATAGAGATGCTGTGGCAGGACCTGAAATGAATAGTTCATGCTCGAAAACCTACCAATGTTTCTGAATTAAAGCAGATATGCGAGGAAGAGTGAGCTAAAATTTATCCACAGCGATGTGAAAGACTGATATTGAATTATAGGACATGTTTGGTTGCAGTCATTGAAGCTAAAGATGGTGCAATCAGTTATGAAGTGTCAATTACTTTTTTCACAAAGGGGTTATGGGTGTTGGATAACTTAATTAAATAAATTAAACAATCATAATGAAAAAAGTTGTTATTTGCTCACTCAGGTTCCCTAATTAATCAAATATTAAATTTTATCTAAAGATCTGAAAACATCCAGTGTGACAAATATGCAATAATAGAGGAAATCAGGAAGGAGGCAAATACCTTTTCACGACACTGTATATAAAGGGTTAGTATAAACTTTTAATCCATTAAATCTTCTCTAGACTCACAGAAGAAATTACTGCTTGATTCTTAAATGTAGAATAAAGCAAGGCATTTAGTATAATCTTGGTAATGTCTGGTCATGTGAAAAACACACTTTAGCTTCAAAGCAGACATATATCGCAAAACATTATGGATAACTTTGCTGAATTCAGCTGATATGCTTCATCTGTACAGGTGTGGTGGCAATCCCAAAAATGAATACCACTGCCTGGATCCCCTGGATTTACCTGGAATGTTTCCGAAATCCCTGTAGATGCGGAAGTCGGTATCTGAGGGGATTATGCCACTCTGAAAAACCTCCTGGCCGACCACAGAGGCGAAGGGGTGCTTAGCTGCGTGTACATAAGCCTGAACCAGCCAGGGGTTTTCCGGACCTGAGAAGGAAGTTAAATAAAACTGGTCATCAACTTGCAAATAGGTTTTGCAGCTGAGACCAATTCTGCTTCTTGCCATGGGTACCTACCTAAAATATTTCCCTGCAGCTTCCTTTGATTTTTAAAACAATGATGAAGGACAGCACAGTATAACTATGCTTCTGCCATCCTGATAGTTAGCTGTAATTTGGCAAAAATGAAAATAAAAACTCTGACTCATCTGTCAAAATGAACATTTGATGGTAGCTTTTTGTTTGACAGAGCCTTCTTGCTTTTGCCTAAAGGGAAACCCAGTTTCATATTCCAGGCCTGTTACTAGCAGATAGCTGAAATGTTTATCTTGTTTCATTCCAGAAAATGGCAGGAAATGGTACAAGCCATCCATTACAAGCCACAAGTCACTTGAGAGCAGCAGAAGACAGAATATCAGTGTCACAAGGATATCGTGAAACAGACAATTTAAAAGAGCCAATCAGTTAGAAGATGTTCCATATAGAGAGCCAGTCAGAAAGTGAACCCACAGTCCTGGAGCTGCAATAATAGCACTAACCACTGCATCACCATCTTAGTCCATAATTACTTTGTCAAAACTGTTCAAAACTAAAAACAAAAGACACTTACCCTTTTCCACCATTTTAAGGACACTAATTACAGTTAATGGTAGTATATACCAATGTTATATACAATATTACTGATTGATATACATTGATGGCACTCACACAAAACTTTCACACCATCAGGGGCAACGTTTTCATTCAGCTGCAGTTAAGATCTTTCATATACCAACTATACTTCACTTCAGTATACTCAGTAGAACACAGCCTCTTCTGTCTGACACACAGAGAGATAAAGCACACCTGTCTGAAACACAATCTCTTTGCCACCGACTCCAGCTGCCTCCAGGTTGATGAAGGCACGGATGAGCTTTGCCCATGGGTGTTGTGTGATGAACCCATGACTAGCCTGACAAAAGTAAAAGAAAAAAAACAGAAAAATGATTAAAGGTCCCCAAGGTTCAATGACAAGTACTAAATCTCCTCATTAGTGAGAGAGCTGCATGGGCTCAGGTGATCAGGTGGCTTAACCAGTTGAATGTCAAGCCCGGTGAAAAATAAAAATAGAAAAATGTAGGAAAGAATCAATGTGCCCCATTTATCAAGAGAAAAATGCCTTCATGCCACTGGTATGTGAGAGAGTCCACTCATGTAGTGGGAAATCAAGGTTTCAGACAGACCACCCTGGTGGATGACAGTGAATGTGATGCAGGGATGCCGTGCTCATCCAAAAGTAACCCTATTGAGCTTTTGTTGGATGAGCTGTGATGACTTGTGACATTTAAAGCTCAGAAACCAGTGACCTGGTACATGTCTGTCCAGATTCTATGACAGTATTGGGAATTCCAAAAACATAGCATTTGCAAACTGGTGCAAATCATTGGGCACAGATCCCTGCGACTTTCACAGCAGGCCTCCTTTTGATCTTAAAACAACAATTGTTCATCAGCACAGTGAATTAACTTTTGATCTGCAGTGTACCAGTGCTACATTTCAGGGGTGGATGTATTATATTGGGTTCCTTCTTACAGTGTATGTACAGTTCTTTGGGATAATAAGATTGCAAAGTGCTACACAAGTCAGGGAAGTGGGAATCAGAAATAAGCTCTCAGGCCAAACATGTTGTCAAGGCAGATGTGTCGGCTTCATTCAAGACACAGCTGGATAACATCCCAAGATCAATTATACACCACACGAGATACATGGGCTAAATGGTCTTCTCTACATCTTAATGATTTATCATTTATCTTTATTAATTTGTTGCAGTTATAAGAGACAATAAGTCCTTTGATTCACAGTATACAGAAAACATATTACTGAAATATTTGTTAGCATTTTATTGAGCACGTTACCTTACTCAATAAATATCATTAAGTGCAGCAATTTAAAATAGCTGATGGTGTTCTCATTCCTTACAATGCATTAGGACAGACGCTCATTTCAATCAGTACACTAACTATATAGTTCATGTGGGTAGCTGTGTCAGCATGCGTAGGCTGCAAAGGAACAACTAAAGGTTTATTCCACGCTGAAAAGAAAAGAGACATAATGTTTATGCTGTGGAGCCTCCTTCAGGTGACAAGACATGTGAACACCTGAAGAAGGATCCACAGCTGAAACATTGTGTCTCTTTTCTTCTCAGCATGGAATAAAGCTTTACTTGATCCTTTTCTACCCATATAGCCTCCTTTGCTGTGACCATGCAGACCTATGCTTTGTCAACATACAGGCAAATCCATTTTCTAAAACTCAATGGACAATAAGATTGTGAGAAATAAAATGTGAAGGATTCTTTCCCCCACTGATTAAAACATTCCACATTTTTTTTTGTTCAAGCTGTTTTGTTGGTAACTGTGGGATCAGATGTAATGCACAATGCCTTGAATACATACAGTACACATTCCCATGTTACACCAATAGAGAACAAATTGGCAACTGTTATATATGGAAAACCAACAATTCACAAATGCTGTCTAAATTCATATTGCTGTCCAGTTTTTGCTTCATACCTGAATGTATGTTTATGCGCCGGGGGGAACCAAGCCAACCTTGGTCCGGAAGAGCCACATTTAGGGGTCATCCTCAAATTACCAATTTCTAAACAACTCGAACACTTTTTTTTTACCACTTAAGCAGATGATTTTTACAATTAACTTATTTACATATTACTGTAAATGAAAAACAATATTACCAACCCTCAGGTCTTAACTGAATGAAGTAACTTACTAAATTAATCAAAATTCAATTTTTTTACTAATTTAAACTTTAAGCAAGAGCTACTGGATTGTGGCTCTTTGCTCTACACTGTGCAAGAAAGTCCTTCTCAAAAAAAGGTTTCAGAACTTAGGTTTAACAATGCAGTGGAATTAAATATAAGTTCAGTCACATATTTATCACTAATGTCGACAAGAGAATAATTGTAATCGAAACCAAGGAATAGTATACAGCAACATCTGTATTCCATTCTCAACGTGTGGTACATGTTTTTCTTCAAATACGCCCCACCTGAAGCACATTCTCTTCAGCTCCATTAAAAAGGAAAATCACAGCATGTTGCAGAGGAGTGGATAGACTGGAGAGTGACTGAAGTACTTCCAGCATCACAGCACAGCTGACAGCATCATCACTTGCTCCTGGAGTCAGCAGACAAGGAAAACCAACTGAGTGTCAGCAGAATTGTGCCTCTTGCCAGCAATTTATGCCAGATTGCATGACTGCAGAGGTATCACATTTATTAAATGATTTACATCAGGCAGGCATATAAAAACTTTATACACAGACATTTTACACTCCATCCTGGGCCAGAAATCTGTTACTCTCAACTTATCTCCTACTGTAAATTGTGCAACTGAAAATGGCTATATTCAACAAACATTGTCATGAAGAGGGCTATAAGAAATGCTGACACAGTGCATGGAAACAGTATCAATTCCCCTAACCGTTCATTAGGTGCCTAAGACCTTTCAATATCTGGTGCATGTATTATATCACAATTAACTACTGACAGTGACAGAATGAAACCAAAAAACATCTGACCAACTACAGTTGTGCACCCCTGCTTTCAAGAAGATCCTGAGAGAGTGGCCCATTTGGAAAATGCAAAAAGAGCATGAAAATCCAAGTCAAATCAAGTCAAAGAACAAAGGTCAAGTACTAATATTCATAATGGTACAATCCCAACTGCAATAAGGAAAATAAGAATAAGACTTTCATCCTACTTGGGCCCCACAGCTGGAGTCTGGCTTGATAATAGAAGGCTTCAACACTTGATAACACAGCAGCATTACCACTCTAAAACTGCAGTCCAAGTGCCTCAACCTAAAACCTGCATCAAATCCTAACCCTACCTTTGGATTTAAATTTATCTCAATATTAGTACTAACTAGAGGTAGATTTAGGATTAAACCTAAGCTCTGATCATTCCTTTATTCTCCATTAGGAAAACATTTCTTACTTCATGCTTTGCTCCTTGGGTTTGGAAAAGTTCTTTCTAAAGAAAAGTTATTATTATTGTTATTTTTATGATTACATGGCAATACAAAACTTCAGAATGAGATTTGGAACTAATGAAAGGTTTATAAATGTCAGACTTTCAGATTTTAATCAAATAAGAGCTGAGGGGCTACCTGGGCTGTTGGCCACTGAATCAAAGTGGCAGTTGGCCAGCATGGCATGTTTGGCCCCTTGTTTTGGTTCCAGCTTGACTGCAATGTTGGTGACCTTGTCATAGTAACTGGTGAAGCCGCCTAAAAAATCAATACTGAAGGAGCCCGTTGGTCTCTGGATATCTACTGAGATGGAGTGTGGTCCTGAAGCACTCTCTGCTTTTATTTTTTCGATTTGACTCAAGAGATAGTTTACTGTCAAGACTTCATTCTCCGGACTTCCAACAGGTCTAGGCCCAACACTGGTAATATGTTCAAGATGCTTCCTGCAAAACACCATTAGCAGTGCTCACGAGAAGATAAAGACACAGCAGTAGTAAAACAGAAAAACAACTTTGTAGGTTGAAGTAGTCCAGGTGGGCAGCTGTGGCAGCATGTGTAGGCTGCAAAGGAACAAGTAATAGGTTTACTCCATGCTGAAAGGAGAAATGAAGAAAGAAAACACAACGTTTCAGCCTTGAAGCCTTCTGTGTGAGAAAGAGCGCAGTAAGCAAAGGTAATGTAGCAGGAGGACAAAAGCTGGGAGAAAGGAGGAGCAAGGGGCGGAAGCAGGGGACAGACAGGGTGGCCAATCAGGAAGTGTGAAGTCAGGATAGGTGAAGAGAGGTGTGAAATTAAACCTACAGGTAAACCTAAAGTAACCTTTAGGTTAATTTAAACCTAAACCTAAACCTAAAGATCCACCATGTAAAATAAGTTACTATTAATTTCATCTTCTTCATTTTAAAGAACACAATTCAAAACTATTAAAGGACTGATTTTCAAGGTATTCTAACATTACCATTCAGTCTTGTATAATTTTTAAAGTGTCTTGGCTAGATGACGATTTGCTTGATAGGAAAAGGAATCTAGTGCTCGGAATTTCTTGCTGTACTCACAATCTGTATTTGTATACTCTTAATGGATATGCCTTTATGTAAAAACATATTTGCTGTTTTAGAATCTTATACATTTTAATACACAGAAATACGATAAAACAAACTTTAGAAATATGTTAAATGTAAGTAAATTCCATATATGACACTGTACAACAGAAATTACAGTCAAATACAGTATATGCCAATTACTGAAAATGATGGTTCTGAAAAAGAAATGAATAAATAAGAATTGTTTATAAATTAACATTTTCGTAATGTAACTTTTTTTCATTTTATATTAAAATAATCTTTAGTATTTCGATTCAACAACATGATCTGCCTACACCAGCCGCAGAACAAGGAAACTTGCAGTTCTCTTAATACCGTGCTGTATCCGCAAAGGAGTCACTGCGAAATCAGTAATCGAGAATTTCATTCAGTCTTGATTTGGTAAAGTTATACAACAAAGCCCAAGAACTGTGTAAGAAAACAGAATACTATAGCTACCTATCCTATCGGTTTGCCCTTGCCAAATAGGATCTAACGCAGGTTGGTGTATAAAAAAGTCCGAACTGTTTAGCTGCCATCTGGAGACACATTCTGCCAAACTTCAAAAACAAAAAGCTAATATACAGTACCCGAGTGCTGCGTGTAGGGCTTGTTTGTTTGGAATATTTATGTTACAGTCACATTAAGCTGTATTAAACCCAATATATTCAGATTTGATATAAGGCAGATTTCATTCATCTTAAACCCATGGGTGTATTTAAGTAACGTGACGTAAGAGGTGAAGGTAATGCTAATATTATTAAATACTTAAATGCCAATACCATAATACAGATTTCTGTACGTACCTTGCCCTTATCGCATTGAACTCGTCGGTGGATGTTCGGATGACAAGCTGCTGTAATGATAAATGAACTAGTCCCCATAACACAAAAAGGAATATAGCAGCTAGACCAACTCCGATTCCTTCTTCCAGCAAACACAAACCCAACTCAAGCTTCTTTTTATCTTCCCCAGAGTCATTGTTCTCATTCAGTTCCCATGTATCTGTAGCCTGTTCCGATATATTATTGCATGTACGATACCCTTTTATTCTCCTTACAGTGGTGTCCCTCTCCATTTTAACTGCGGGCAAGTCGGCGAGCGTCATTTGGGCAAAATACAAACGGATACGACACAGGGACAAACTATCTAATGAAAACTGTCCGTCAACAGTTAGGCAACCTGGAAATACGTTGATTATGCTTTCAGGCAAAACCCATAATCTGTTATCGAAAGAGCTGCTGCAAACCATGTGGTGGTCAGGTGTTGCTTACAAAACATTTCTGTATGTGAGATTTTTCTCATTCGTGCTTTTTTCTGAAATTGTTTTTCTGTGTGCAATGTCGGTTTTTGACCTAAAAAAATTACTGTCTTCCCAGTTGAAGATATTGTATTCCAGATTAAATGGATAGCATCTGAAAATGGCATCTGAACTAGGTGATTTAAATGTACTTTGGGAAAATGTAATACATTTAATACTGTTAACAATAATTGTTTTTTTAAATGCACTTTTGAGATTAATCAGAGGAATACTGAGCCAGTCAATACCTATGCACAGCAGTGAAGACAAATGACAAATTGCACAAAGTGTGCAGCTGAACAAATCTGTCAGTTTAACAGTGCCCCATGCCCCTCTCCCAGCAGAGCTTAGTCTTTTAGCCATAAGAAAAGCTGCAATCAAGGGGCCATTCAGCACATCTAGTTCATTTGATCTCATCAAGCAGTTTCTTGAAAGATGTCGGGGTATAAGCTTCAACAAAAAGGATTCAGCATCAAGGATAGCTTGTTCTGTACTGTCACAACCCATTTGGTAAAGGAGAGCCTCCTGTATATGGTTTTAATACTATCAGTTTTTACTTGTGTCCTCGGGTTCATGTTCTACTCTTCGTTCTGAGGACATTCACTGTGTTGACTTTGTCAGTGCCTTTGAAGATTTTAAATACTTGCATCAGATCCCCTCGAAAACTTCTCTATTCAAGACTTCACTTCCTTCGGTCTGTCAGTGTAGGACATTCCTTTAAGGCCCTGTATCTATTGGATTCTGTTTGCTCTTCTCTGGACTCATTCCAGTGTATCCTTTCTATGATGAGGTTATCAAACTTGTTCACAATATTCTAAATGAGGCCTCACTAGTGTTTTATACAATTTTAATATAACATCCCTAGATATAAATTCTGCACTTTTAACTATACACCATAACATTTGGTTTTCCTTTTTAATTAGTTTGTGATTTAACTTTGTGATGTAATCCCTGACCATGAGCACAAACTATTTCCTTTAATGCAATACTCAGAAAAGACTCCACACATCCACCTTGATGTGTTCCATCGTGAAGGGCTGCAGTAAGGCAGCCATGGGTTTTTCATGGCTATGAAATTGGTACACTGATTTCTCTTCAGATGCCAGGGTCTGTAGCATCATTGTTAGCCTGCAAAAGAGAAAACCTCGAGGACACAAACATCACATGCTGTCACCACTCCTCCAGGATGGCACTATTTGGGAAAAATTAATGATGCGGAAAATGCATCATATTTAGAGACGCGTATTTAGGAGTGGAAACAGGAGATACAAACAAAACTAGAAAATGTCAAAGAAATGTGTGTCAATATTCAGTAGATTGATATTTTATAATTCAGGCCCAGTAAGGTAAATTAACTGTGACATCAAAGGGGGAAATGTTTTAATATGATAGTAGTGCTGCAGCAACGTAAAGGAGCTTCAGCAGTGATTGGTGTCCAGACACATCCCTCACTGACATCATCGTGAGTCTACAGGCACTCAAAAATCATCACCATTTTGTCAGGAGCTGAAAGAGTCACGGTTTACTAAATGCCACCCATGGCAGTACCGAGCCAGTTGTGTACTGCCACTTAAAGAATCTCAGTCACACTTGACTAAGTGACATGACCCAGGCTTGAATTTGAGATGTCTGGATCATACACCTCAGGGTACAAACAGAGCAAGTACCTGGTTGTCTTGGGAGTCCCATTCTCAATCTAGATTAGTGACTGAGATTAAAAACTAGGAGCCTTACAAAAAAGTGACATACCAAAAGGTATCAGAAAATTATGCTCTTTGGATTGGATCCCATTCAGCACTACTTACAAAAGGAAAGTGCAGAGATTTGTATGCTGCTATCTTCACAGGTATCATATCTACCAAACTGTAGCAATCCAGTAGCACAAGAATAACCAGGGAATTTCACAAGGCTTTATTTTTCAGAGGATGTTTATCACTTAACATCACACTACAAAGGCCGGCCTAAGCGGTAACAGCGTCAGACTCAGGCAGGGCCAGACAAGTGAAGAGTCAGCCACAGCAGGTTCCAAAATACAGATTTTACTAGGGAAATTGTCTGGCACAGAAAATAAAGCAGCCCAGTGGTTTACAAACAAAAGCCCAAAATAAGCTTAGCCTCTTACAAAGTCTTCACTCAAATCCTAACTAAAACATAAAATACATTGGCTTTTATAACTGTAGGAAGGTCCCCAGGATAGGCTGATTGGTTGACTGGATGATTAACCATGTATGGAGAACCCTTCAACATATGTACATTCTTATGCAAGTCAATCCACCAATCACCATCTCTGGATACCACATGCAGCATGCTCCAGCACTGATTTCATTCAAGGCATGGCAGCACCTGGCCTGCCAAATTGATCAACAATTTCTGTATTCCTTTGTGCTTTATGCAGTACGTTGCACCATGTTATACAACATTAAAGATTTCACATGAAAGTGAAATGCAGAATGGCATTATTGGTTTAGATCTTTCAGGCCAATTACATGTGTAAACAAGAAAAAGCAAAATTGAGAATCTACTAATTTTTATTGTCATTTTTGATGATTTAAGTATCCACAGGGACAAAAGTAAATCTTTCTGTAAAGCCACATATGCCTTTCAAAAATTTTGGACTTTTCATACTTTACTTTCCTCTGCTTATAATATTCTTTTACTTTTACAGAACTGATCAGAAGTTCAGAAACTCCTAAACAGTGTTAAAGTCATGATGCACAATGGTAAAAGATCTTGTCCCAGCATTTAAATTTCTGCTGTAATAAGAGCTACTGTTCCTGACGGTGTGGCATCCTGAAGATGTCAAAGATCCAATGTGATGTACAAATGCTAAGTGACTGCAAAGAAAAAATACTGTAATTTTGAAGAGATGGAAATAAATAAATAATATGACACAGTGGACTTCTTTTTATTATAATTTTAGAATTTTCTTATGTAAAGCGAGGCACGTTAACATCATATGTGCCATCAGCAAATTACATTTTAAAATATATATCTAAAATATCGCTCCTTTCTTTTTTACTGGGACTTATTTTCTAAATGCAAAAATTATTTTTCCTCTGCATAGCTTTTTTATAGCCTGTATTTTCTGCTTGTCATCCCAAAATCCTTCATACAGTATCCAGCAATAGCATCAGCGATGAAGGTGTTATATTAATTAACTTAATATGACTTATTTTCCTTTTTATTTAATGCATTATATATTTCAGCATTACATTCAATATATTTACATTAGATTTATTTCTATATAATATTGTTTATTCTGCATATGTATTAATTATTTTTATGATCTATATACGTATGTTAAATACATATATTTATAATTTCTGAAATGTACCACATCTTTGACTGTTCTGTTTGTATCCTGCATACTTGCAGGTCTTATGCCTTAGTAGATAAGTCAGGAGATCAGGCTCACGGGTCCAGTATGAAGGGTATCCACCACTCCAGGCTGATGTCTTCACACTAATTAGGCTGAATCAATGGTTATTAAGTCAGAAACTAAAACCCGTGATGGTCATGAGAACCCTTCCTCTCCTCCCCTTTTTTTCTTCTATGCACAAGATTAAGAGAGGGACGGGATCAAGGGGATTCCACCCTGCCACTTTGCAAATTCTGTGGCATCGTCTTGATCATCAGGAGAGGCAGTTCTCAAATTTAATTTGGTGAGTTACTGTTTAGAATTTTTCTGTTTAAATGACCATTAAATTTAATTGCAGCATAAACGAATAAAAAATGAGTAATCCAATTTTTGTTTTGTTTATTAAATAGAGATGTTTTATGGCTGATTTATTTAATTTTGCTGAAAAATTAAAATGCACAGTTGGATGAGCATGTGAAGTCAGTAATTATGTGTGTAAATTCGTGTAAATTTATTTTTCTAATTATTACACGGCACATTTTAGCTTTGTTAACCAATTAACACTTCATTGCTTTTTAAAAATAGCCCCCTTGTCAATACTGTACTTTTTATTGCTGCAGTTGTGGAGAGATAGGGATGTAATAATTTTCTTTATTCCATTGTTGTTAAATAAGTTTTAAAAGAATAAATCAAAGTTTAAGTTAGGGTGCACAGTTTGCATATAGTATAGGTATTCTCCTGTTGCTTAAAAAAAACAATGCTACTTCTAATAATAATCGTCGTATACAACAAAATAATATAAATCTTTCCTCTCTCCCCAGGTGTGCCAAGGAGACAGTATGCCGCGAGGAGAATTCACTGTCCAGTTCTCAAGCAGAGGTACTGGAGGTGGATCTTATGTTCGAGCTGAAGAGTTAGTATACATATATTTTATTCTTATGCTCTCTGTCCTCATGCTGTGTTAGGAATGTCCTATGAGTTTCAGCACATAATCTGAAGTGTTTGATAGAAAATAAACTTCACAAATATAATCAATGCTGCGAACTTAACGTTTTTCAATCCAAAGTACAATGAAATGTGTATACTTTTAACTGCTGATTTTTTCATATATTTACTATTCTTTCATAATGAATGTTAGATGGACAAAGTCTCATAAGATATAAACCAAATGGTCCTACAGTTACAGAAGTATAAAAAAGAGCAATTATTTATTTTGTTTCTATTATTAGGCTTCTACTTTGTATTATGATTTTCTTCTATCAGTACAGCTTAATAATACTATCAGTTAATTGTACTTTTGTTAAGCAATAATAATATTTTTATTAAATATTAAATAATAATAACACTTGATTTGAATTCTGATTTATGTTTAAACTTCAAATAATATCACACTATTTTTTAGATGGCTTTTAGTCTTAATTTCAAACATACTGTATATTTTGCAGTATTTTGGTTGTGCAGGTAGTATTACACCTGTTTGGTAACTACAAGGTTTTAGTACTATCAATAAGTACCTGTGAAAATCATGAAATTCTGATAAAAATATGAACATAAACTGAATGTTTTAAATGAACTTTTGGAGACACTAGTGCACTTCAAAAGAGGACAGTGCAGGAAAATCAGAATTACTGCAAAACTATTTAGACATTCATTATTCATGACTATAGTATAATGATAGTAGTATGTCATCAATTGATGCCACAGAGTTCCAATTCCTGGCAGGGGAAAACAGTTTGCTGTTCATTGTAAGTATACTGATGGAAAAAAGAAACGCAACATTTCATCCACACTCTGGCCCTCCCGTCTGCATGGAATGGGCTGAAGAATGACTCATTCATGAAGAGGATCTGATGCCGCTGCTGACAAGTCCATCGCAGCCTCTGTCTGGCCCAAGCCAGTCGCGTGTGACATCTAGGAGGTGTGAGCAGAGGGCCTCTGACAGTTGCCTTGCTCTAAGGCCAGGAGCATGGAGCCTCACTGTCTTGTCACTGATGCAGGCATTGTGTCTGCTGGCAGTTTCAGCAGCAGTACAGGTGGCTGATCTGAAACGATCTCTCAGATGGACCAGTCTGATTTGTAGGTCCTGCTCTGGAATGGTCACTTGAGGGTGACCAGATCTTGGACGGTCATCTGTCCTGATGGTCTGCTGAAACCTTCTCTGTAGTTGGGACACAGTAGAGCGGTTTACTCCATAGTGTCTGGCAACGCTGGCACAAGGCATGCTTGCCTGCAACATCCTAATGGCCCTCTCCCTTGCTTTTGGTGACATTTGAGGCGTTATGGAATGCACAGAAAACTGACTAAGTGTGGCCTTTCTCTTGCAGTGACCTAAGCTTTGAATTAAGGCCTTTTTAAAGGTGACCTGATCAGGCATTGTTCTGCCTGGACTTCGTTGAGTAAAAGTGCACCTAACGAGCTTTCATGTGATTGACAAATTGCAATGCCTCACCCCACAAGCTGTACTGATGGTCAGAGGGCTTAAAACAAATTAACAACTTTTTGTGAAAATTATGTTAAGTTATACATAAACTATAACTATAGTATTCTCATTCCAGAAAATTTTGCATTTCTTTTTTCCATCAGTATAGATCCAATTAGAAAATGTAGTGACAAGAATGCCTTGTAAGTGCATGTCTAGGATCTTAATTTAAAGGTACACATTATGCACTGTTGTTTGTCTCTAATCTGAGAACAGCTAATCTTTTATTTTCAGATTAGAATGTAAAGCTCTTTTGTGCATACTTGCACTAAACTTGGGTCCATTTGGCAATGTGGAAACCAGGGTCCAGTGTTGGAACACACAGTAACTCTCACAACAATTAATTAGCTATTTAAACCCTGCAAAAGTAGCTTTTTGTTAAAATAATTCTAATTAAAATATTTTAACAGCATTAAAATAACTCATTAGAATAACAGTATATTAAAGACTGATCCCATGCACTAACAATGTTATACTACTAGTTGTGAAAGAAACAAAATCTATAAAAACTTAGTATAGTAAGATTCTTAGAATAACCCAGAAAATGGATCATTTTCAATACACTGTAATGTCTGGAATGCAAATTGTATTAATTAAACATTGAGTGAATGGTCTTAATATTTAAACTAAGAACGTTTGTTGAATTAAAACAGTCAGCACACAACCATAGTCTTGAAGAGCTGCTTTTACCTCAGCAGAATTGAAAGAGTTGGTACCAATGAATCTACTCTGACAGTGTTTGTGGCAGATCTGTTTGCTTACAGTTCCGCTTTTATTTTTTTATAATCAACATTTACTGAAATAGTAATCAACTTCATGTTTTTTAAATCAGGGTTTCTATGCATTTCAGGGCGGCAGGGATAGCTTTGCTGGTCATCATTCTAGCAGCTCTGCTGATCATCGGATGTTGGTATTACAAGAGGAGACGTGGGTACAAAAGTATCCGGGTGAGACACTCGCTCAAACCTGCAGGTTCCAGTTCTCCATGCCTGCACACAAAGCCCATTCAGCTAATTTTGAGACTTGTCAAAGAAATTTGTTTCCCCCGGATCTAATTTAGTTTTGCTGTAGAAAAGGGAGTGAACAATTATGCAGTATATATCTTCTCTTTCTTTACAGTTGTTGCGGACATCATTGTACTAATTGGAAAAGGGTTAATACTTATGCAAGGCACTGCATATCATATACACTTGCAGGTTCACAAAGTATCAGTCTTACACTTGTAGACTCTGCTTAACAATTTGTGTCTAGTTTGATTAAGTGTATTTATTAACAGAAATTAATTACATGTGGTGGATTAATTATTAAGTGACTGAATTGCTCCTCTTTACAGAGTCAAGGATTAGATCGCAGTTCTTTCAGATCTTTAATGAAGTCTGATCACTACAGTGAGGAAGGAGCATCTGCAGAGAACAAAGTTGTCCTAAGCGAGTTCCACAATCTCAACTCTGTGGTAAGAGATGTTGAATAAATGCATAAATGGGCAAAGTAGGGAACATATAGTGTGGTATTAAACATTTTTTCTGGTAGTTCAAGTACAGTAGGTAGCTGCATCACGAACAATTTCTAAGATTAAAAGTTAAGAACATTTCAAATATCTATATGACTGTTGTCAATACTTCAAACTAGACACAAACCCACTTTGTGAAGAGGTTGTAACTAAATGTGTAGCCTAATGACTGCAACTGAAATATGATAAAATATATAAAACAACCCTATGTACTGTACAGCTTGGTGAAGGAAAGAGAGGTGAAGAGTGTGTATATCTTATACTGTACATATACGTCAGTGAATGCAGGAAGTATGATACTGGAAAAAAAATCCCCTGAGCTGGTTGTGTGATTTGTGTCACGTTGCCATGTCCAGTTGAGCTGGTATTGAAATCCCTCAGAGGTTACAAAGTCCTCCAACAGCTTGTAACTGACCTAAAACTAATGCACCGTTCTATGTAATGTAATGTATTTTGCTGTATTGAAAAGACCCCGTGAATAAACAAAACCTGCTTCTTTTTCCCCTTTTTTAAACTCAAGACTATGTGACTCCAGTCTGTTTTGGTTCTGTTTCAGGTTCCTAGTGCTCCTCCACCTTATGAGAAAATAGCTTCTGGACCTTCACCACCTCCGTACTCCGCGTGACAATGGAATTACCACAGCCAGCAAAGTCAAAAACATGCCTAGACTAAATTTATCAGTATGAATTATCTTAACCTAATTTTCTTTCATCGTAGGTGTGCTTCACAGTTAAAATGTGCCTTTCCTTACTGGAGTACTACTTTGTTCATTGTATCTGACAGTTAAACAGATAAATGGATCATGGTATAGGATGAGATTTGTTTCTGTAGAAAACTAACAGAAATATTTGCAATTAACTTGACTGGTTATAATATTTTTTTTAGTTTCAGAAGTTTCTGTTCACATAATTCATAGCTCATTTTATTTATCCAAAGTCTAACTTTCATGATGTACAAACCATGCTTCTCATTATCAGCCAATGAGAAGGTCCATTGATTTGACTAGAAATTCCTATATTTTCCCAAAACCGATACCCTCTGTGCAGTTCTATTGGGGAGATTTATTGTTTTTTAGTATACAGAACACACTTCAACTGAGAAAAAATATCTGCCTTCCTCTCCTTCATTAACATCCATTCACATCTCCTGTCCAGTGACCCTCCTAGTTATTATCCAGAATTCACTCTGCCCAACTTTCAAAAGTAATTTTAATAGAAAAGGAGAAACAATACATTTGATGACCCTTTCTTCTTTGGCTAATTGTAAAAGATACAGTATCAGATGTGGTAATTGATATTATAATATGGTCATGTTCCTTGCCCTTATGGAAGGAGAACAGCTGTTACAGTGGTTTAACTTTCCTCAAAGTTTTGGAATAATAATAATGTGGCAGTCATTCTTTATTTTATTAGTCATTCTCTCTGTTTTTACTAGGAAGTAAAATTATAGTAATACACAATAAAACTACACATAAAGGAGGCTTAAGCATTCGTATGAATATTTATCATCCTTCCCCCCCCCCCCCAAAAACAAATCTAGAAGAAAATGCTTTCCTTTCATTTTTTGTACGCCTTTCTCATCAAATAACAGATGTATATACAGTTAACATCAGTTAACATCTTAAGTAATTTATTGCCATCTATTTTTGTTCAGTCTACAACCTGGTTCTGGGAAACCAATGTCTCTTAATGGTTTTTGTTTCAGCATAGTTCATGAACACAGACTAACCGATTTCAATTTTCTTCCTGAGACATGTTTCTAAATTAGTTTCATGATTTTTAAAAAACAATCTCTTTCAGAATGTTAGTGACAGAAAGTGGGAGCAGCTGATACATTGTCTTTCTCATCTGGATCTATGTCTGACTGTTCTCTCAATAGGTGATATGCTGAGGTGAACAGGTTGAGAACAAGTTGTATAAAGTTCTGCAATGCAAAATTATTGAACACCATTAATCTTTGAAACCTGTTTTTTGTAAAAATAGGTAAACAAAAGTCAAAGTAAGCAAGTTGATCAATTATAGGTACCAATTGGTACAAGAGATTATCAACTCAGCTGAACTGAAGACCTGCAGATAGGGGTATCCCAAGACCAGGGTTGGAAACCACTGATGTGGGGGAAACATTAAACATATTCTGAACTAAAGTATGTCTCTCTTTAGGATGATCATGTTTTAAAACTCACAAGTTACCTTCCTGAGAAAGTGCCGATCAAGGAGCGTGCACTCATTTAAAGGTCGCAGTAGGCAAAAAGCTTTCTAACCAATTTTAGTCAATGGTGTAATCAGGGTATTGCATTCATTTAACTTCTATACATTTTGCCTCTTTCAATGTTAGAAGCATGTCGTCAAGATCTCAGAAAAAAATTAAAAAGTGATTACATTTTATTACGGAGTTGTCCCACAGTAAACTGTAGTTCAGTTAGTGCATTGCTTTAAAAGCTAAAGCATTGGAATCACCTACCAAAAGAAGCCATTTTTATCAGATTGCTTTTTAGCATCAATAAGCTCTCAAATCTCTTTTTCAATTTGCTACTTCTTACAGTAATAACTATTAAGCACAAATACTAGTTTCATTTCATTAATGTGCTAAATAAGTGTTTCTTTTTGTGTTGCTGAAGTGTTTTGTGACAATCCATTAATCTGCATTTTCGTTTTTGTACTATCTGTGCAAAATAGGACCTTTAAAGAATTGTACTCACCAGCTCTGTATACAAAGAATGTTCTCTTTATTTCCATGCAGAGAATTCTGCAATTTCCTAAACAATGCAATGGTCCAAAATATCTAATAAAATACTTTAAAAAAATCTATACATTATGTAAACAGAAAACATAAATAACACCTTACAATTCCATACATATGTTCAGTAGGGCGGGTTCAAACAAATATTTACAAGTTCAGCATCTTCCAACTTCATTTCTTATGTATGAATGTTGGCAATTATTCAAATGAAACAAAATACTGGACAACTGTTTTCGGAAAAATGACAAATAGGTGAAACCTTTGTCACTGTTGATCTCAATATACAAAAAAAACCTTATTTCAGACTTACAGAAAATCCACAGACCAGCCATTTCACAGCCCACAATTAGTATTATGCTTGAATTTTTATTAAGGTTATTTAACGTAAACAAGTCTATGACTATTACTAACCCTGGTCTGTGAGCTAAGAGTTTAACAAAGATGACTGTACCATTTCAGAGAAAAAAAATAAGTTTTATATTTGCTTTTTTTTTCCCTAAAGGTGCACTTGGCATCACAATCCCACAATGAATACTGATACTGAGAAACAGCTGATACATTTCAGGGTGACTTTACCTTCATCCTTTGTTTCATCATGGACCTTTGATCTTACACTGGATCATCACATCTGCAAATTCTAAGTCAGATGGCTACCACTCTCATTTTTCTTTCCTTCAGATCTTGTATTAACTACTTCTAATATCCACCTTGCAACACCTGACTAAAAGCAATGAGGAAGAAGGGAGGGGTAGTCTTGTTTTAATCAAGAGTTTTACTAACAAGATAGTAAAAAAAAGTACAATGTTAAGGGACAAAGAAATATTGTAAATTGGTATGATCAATTATGGTAGTTGGTGGTATTAACACATTTTAATAGCCTTTCAGAACCTCAGTTTATTCTTAAATGAATAAATGAAGAACACATGACATGAACCTGTGTGTTGTAAACATCTTCACTCATTTTCTCTGGTGAACTAAGCCTTTTATAAAGCTCTTGTTTTCCAGAACACAGTTCTGATGACAGAAACTGTTACCTCACTTTCACACACATCTGCTACAGACTGTATAATCACACAGTAACTGACAAACTGACCTTGTGTTTACTAGAGTAAGCTAATAGAAACCTGCAAGAGATGCTACACGTCCAATCAAAAGACAGCGTGCTGAAGCTTTGCACAGCTGACACTTAAGAACTGATGGTGTTGTTGCCTGGGCAAATAAACTTCCGAGGAGGATCTCTTTTAAATCTAAACGATTCATTAATTCATAATTGATTCCAAAACTGTTAATATCAAAATTTGTCTACAATTTTACATAGAAACGTAACCGTGCAGTAGCAAAGTTATCAGCAATATAACCAGTGGTAAAGGGTGAAGTGAACAGAAGACCCATTTATAAATAAATGTATACAACTCTTGATAAAACAATACTCCTTGACCTGTTTTTTTAATATGGGGGTGTGGTTATGAATGTAGAGCATGTCAGCTAGGGTGGAATGTGGGCTTCTACAGTTGTAACTACCTTACTCTGTTACTGGGTAATCTAGGTGTCTCAAAGACTGTCGATTTACAGATTTAAGAAATAGAACAATGAGATTTTGTTCAAAAACAATTTCATTGTTCTGTTAAGATTAATTTAAGTCTTAGGCGTTTCTTTGCATCCCTGTCTGTTGTAACAACAAGCCTGTTTGGGGTAGGAAAGTAAAAGTAATTCAATTTTTTTCAATTTGCAGTACTGCAAAGGGTCATTATTAATATACTGCCTTGTGTGAACCGTTCTAACCGTGTAAATGTAAGCATTTTCTTTGTAGAAATTAACAAATGACTTTCATTTCGGGATGAAAAACTATCTTTCACTTGCAAACAGTGATAAAAAGTGATAGCTTAAACAGCCTTGAATATGTAAAAGGTAGAAATAGACAGTTTGTCCTCTTAGCACTTAGCATCACTGATGCATTTCTGGGAGCACTGCTGTCATAAATCCACCACACATCTGTCAAAAACATATAATTCCAGACTGGCATCAAACATACTAGTGTGTATATATATATAAACATACATACAGTCCTCTTTTCACTTACAACCAAGCCTAGGGCAGAGCATTGAAACTTGTGAGAATGGAGACGGTACTATACAGAATGCTGCTTATAGGGAGTCTACTGTTCACAAATGTGAAAACAATCAGAGGAAATCCTGGTCATATGGGAAGGTGATACTATAAACAGAGGCAGCATGAAAAGAAGATAACTATGTTTACTTTAGTCACCCACTGAAAAGTCTTAGGAAAGTGGCTCCAATGCCTGGATATGCAATTCCATGGAGTTCTTATCCTTAGAAGGTTATTGTTTACACAGCTAGGGAAAGCAAATTATCCAAAAGTACCTTCAGGGGGAAAGATGTTCCAGGTTAATGTATTTTTGTTGAACATATTGATAATTCACTTTATGGAAAGTGAATTCCATTTTGTGTATTCAAGGGTATTGTCCATTATAGTATATAAACATGTAATATAGGCTTTAACTGGCTTTGCAGAGTCACAGCCTGTGGCACCATTTGCTATCGTCAGTGATAGCAAGTCTTGATTGCCACATTTGTAGGTTGTTTTCCATTTAGTTTTTGCCAAACTGTAACAATATAATTCAGAGGGATTTCACATTTTATTTCCATATTGAAATACCGCATTTTGTGTCAGGAAAATGCCGCGTACTGGTATACAGCACATCCAAACTGAACTGCTTGAGCAGGCAGAATTTCGTATGTTATGAAATAACATCTGGACTACTTTCATCCAGTACTCTAGCGCACCGCCTTATAGTCTCAGTTATTGGATCTTCCTTTATCTGGCTCCGCTGTAGTTTGAGGATTGTCTGCCATCGTGATAGGCAGCACTCTTCCTGTACTGGAACTTGGTGTCACCACCACTGTAGCCACAGCCTTGGACACTGGTAATAGATTGGAACTGGGACTTCTGATGGCATTTAAAATGGCTCCTTCTGGACTCACCATTAGCTTACTGGGAGAAGCACTGGTCAGAAGTGCTGCAGAGCTTGCAGGCAGGGGTGCTGTGCTTAACATGGGTGTTGAGTTAGTTAAAAGCAGAGGCATCCTCACTGGTTCCAAGCCTGTCCCCCTGAGAGGCTGAGCAGGTGCCATTATAACTGTATTATTTGAGGGGGGTACTGTTGCTATGGGGGAAATCTGTCTCCTGTTGAAGGTACTCCCTATTGGTGGTACTTTTGCTACAGGCAAAGACTGTACCCTAGAGACTACAATGCCTATTGGTGGTACTGTGGCGGTAGGCAGCACTTGTGCCCTTGAAACAGAGGCCCCGACTGGCTGTACAGTTGATGTCAGCTGTACTTTAGTTACTATATTTGTAGGTCCTGCAGCTTTTGTGCTGCTGACTAAGCTTTCTGTCTGCGGGGCTGTCACTGCAATATTCTCTTTCACAAGTGTACTTAGAGCTTGTACTGAAGCAACTGATAAGCCTTTGCCCTCAGTCAATGATGCTACTGTTGAAATCTTGGCAGCACTGGAGTGACCATGATGTGAAGTTGAACCTGCTGCCACTGATTGTGAAACTGGAACAACAGAAACAGCACTACTGGCTGCCAAACTTTTACCAATACCTTTCCCAAGAGAATTCACTTGAGAAGAGGGAAGAGCCTGAGAAAGGTTTACCTTCAGTGCTGTGGAAGTCTGTGGTATATATGGACTATTTAAACAATGTGCATTTGTCGATACCACCTTGGCTTCTGGCTTCTGGCTTGGAGTGCCAGAGGGAACCGCACCTGATCCACCCGACAGACTCTTCTGGGCAACTTGAGAGCCTCCCTGAGGCCCAGTGGCAGAAGTACCTGGATTAGATATGAGGAGCACATGGCTCCCAGGACCAAGACCATGAGAAGGGACAATAAACCTAGTGTTGTTAATAACAATTTGGGTTCCAGGAGCAAGTGGTGTGGTGGTGTTGATCACAATTTTCTGCTGCACAGAAGTTTCATTCAAAGGGTTGACTGCAGTAGGCTGGCAGGCAGGTCTAGGAGCAGGAACAGGGGTGCTGAAGATTTGTGTGGGGGTTGACACATTGCGTGGCTGGTTTTGAGATGTGGTAAACGAGGTCAAGGATACTGGGAGGCGTTTTGTGGAAAGTGGGATTGGACATCGTAGCTTGTTCACAGCAGAAGCAAGTACTGACGTCCTGGCTGGAAGTGCATTCATTACTGTTGGGTCATTCTGAATGAAACTGCTCATGGAAGGAGCTAGAGCAGTCTTTGGAGCACTACCTCCTGTTTGTCCCACTGATGTACTGCTCAAAGCACAAGCCAAGGAAGTGCTGGCAGATGAAATATCCTGCTGTTTAGAAGCAGTTATAAGAAGAGAGGATGCAAAATGTCCAGCTTTCAGAGTTGAGTAAGACAGGTGTGTGCCGTCATTACATCCACTGGCTTTACTATATGTTGAACCCGTACTTTTTGAAGCGTCAGTACTGGGTCCACTAAGACTAACAGCAGTCTGAGCAGAAAGTAATCCACTGACTGCAGCAACACTTGGACTACTGTGTATATTTTTCATACCTGATTCTAATCCAGAAATATTATTCCGCTTCACCTGATTCAAGGGTTCTTCTGGTAACCTAGTAGCAAAGTCAGGTAACAAGCCAATCACTTGAATATTCTGCAATGTGTCAGTAGCAGCATTGACAATGGCTTGACCTATATTCAGGCCAATCTTCACATCTTTGACTTGAGGTGAAGTGGGGACACAAGGTTGGGATGCTGCAGGGGAGTCCGTGGAGGAAGATTGCTCTGGAAGTTTTGAATTTCCAATAGTGGGGTGACGAACAGGGGCAGATGCTTGGGTTATAAACATTAGCCTTGGAGTTTGAACAGTGGAAGCAGCAGTACAAGAGCTAACATTTGATAAAGGTGCAGGAGAGGCAATGCCAGATGGTGGTGTAACAAGGATGACTTTCTGTAAGGGCGATTGTTCTTCCAAACATGCCTCTGGTTGAGACCTCTTGGTTGGAAGTTTGTTGGCATACTGCACCACAGTAGTTGGTGTGATTACCTTGCTGGGTTTAGCCAGGCTTGCTGTAGAGACTGCTATGTTGACAGTGTTTTGCTGAGTGGTGGGCAATGCTGGATTCATAGCAACCGATGGTCGAGAAGCTGTCAATGCTGTGGACTTACTTGTAGCTTCCTGCACAGTGAGAGAAGCACTTTTGTGCTGGTTTAATGCAACGTTGACAGTTGTCCCTACTGCCTGACTCACACTGACAGGAATAGAGATAGCTGAGGAAATCTGAGACAAGCCAGTAAAGGGCAATCCACTAAACAAAGAAAAGGCTGTTGGTGATGTAGCTGCAACAGTGCAGGTACTTCCTGAGGGAGTTAAAGTAGAAGAGGCAGATGACTTAGAAACCAGAAATGCCTGAAACTGTGGGGTAAAGGTGAAAACTGGACTGGAAGGTAGGCTAGAAGTGCTGTGGTCAGAGCTGGTCTGCACCTTGACGACCCCTGTATTTCCTCCCCTGGTTGTGACATGAATAGATTGAGAGTCTCTGATGCACACAGTTTTCAGCTCCTGCTTGGAATCAGAAGCTCTGCTGGGGCTCTCTGATGGAGCACTGGCAGCTATAGCTCTGTTGGGCACTGCACTTTGTGTCAGGCACTGCACTGGCCCTGTTTTAGAGACAGAGGTACCGATTAAGGTGGAGGTTGAAGATATTGCTACCACCTCTGTCTTTGGTGTTTTCATTATGTGCAAACTGTTAGACACACTGGAAGAAGAGAAGCCCCTGCCAGAGACATCATTCAATGGGGCAACTTGCTGCACAGGAATCTTACTCACGTCATCAGGATGAGCATTGCTAAGGGGGTAAGGCAAAGTACAGGCAGTTTTAGAGGCAGGAACACCTGGGTTCTTCTGCTTCTGAGAATCCTTCTCCAGCTGCTTTTGGATAAGCAAGTTTGTGGGCAAGATGACCACCTGCTGCATTACCTTTTCTCCTGTCTTCTGATCTAGAACTGGTTGTACTGCAATCTTCACAGGACCGCTCCCTTTCCTGAGTAAATCCAAAGGTGTGCAGCTATTATTAGACATCTTGTAGACCACCTGCACAGGACTTTTCGGTGTGGACTGCACAGACGTTAGAGGTTTCATTGCCTGTGGTAGAACAGTTGCCTTATTGGACATCTGGCTGGCAGGTGCTGAAGGCTGGCTGATTAAGGTCACTTTGTTCCCAACATTCTTGGCCAACAAGGCTTGGATGGGTTTGCCTCCCTTTAGGAAAATGGGGACAGTTGAACCCTTGGAATTTTCTGGAGTCAGGGGCTGTATGGCTAGTTTTGATTCTCCCACTCGCATTTCAGGCTGTGGTCTAGGTGACATCTGCTCCTCACTGCCACCAGTTTTGTTTCTCTTTCTGGGAGTTATTTCCTCATCAGTGCTACCACTTTGTCTGCGTTTCGGATTTTTGGAAGGCAGTTTCTGCCCATCTTGGGATGAAAATTCTTTTTTCAACACCCGACTCCTCACTGATGAGTCTGTCCCTTGCTGCCGTGTGTCCCCTGAAATAAAAATTATTACAAATAAAGAAAATACAAATAGTATTAAAATGAAATTTAATCATGCTATTATATAAAGTTGAAAACATACTTTAAAATAAACTGTTTATTTAAAAATCTTTTTAAAAAATTTGAATAAAATTCAAAAGTGGTCAAAAACAATAGATACCCAACATGTAAAGCAATGCAAGTTACACAGTTTACTGCACTATCACCACAAATTTATTTCACTTATACATCTCATTAAAAAGTAAAATTGATGAAGGCATGGTCAGATACTGTAACCAATTGGGTAAAATAATTTGTAAAAACATCTGGTAACTCTTGTAGGAAATACATGGCCTAGTTACATTGTTGACTACATCTGTCCATTCAATATCGTGAGTATCTAAATCCAAAAAAACAAACTAAATCTAAGCTCCCAGCCAGACCTGAGCCTACAGTAGATCTTGAAATCGGCCTGAGTTCCTCTGCTACTTTTGTTCATTTGATACATGTTCAATGACATAGGATACAAATCTTAAATAGTCCTGCATAATCAGTATGTATCAATGGTTAATATTAATATTAATAAATAATAATTAATAAAACCAGTTTCCAAAGTAGAAAAAGACTGAACTGAATAAGGTTAATGTAAGTACTGATATGACCGAAAGAGGATGGATGCTTTCGAACTATGGTGCTGGAGAAGACTGTTACGGATACCATGGACAGCAAGGGTCACCAATAAAGAGGTTCTGGAGCGCATCAAGCCAGAAATTGCGCTTGAGGGAAAGATCACCAGACCGGAAAGTATGGAGAGAGATGGCCTGACTGCATAACATCATCATCAAGTACTGATGTGAAAGTTAGCAGGGGACAGGGCATTCTGTCGCAACTCTTAAGACATCTTTGTAAAATAATTTTTACAATCTAACCCTTAAGAGTTAGATGCCATGTTATGTGCATGCCATGTTAAAAAATTCTAATGCATGGCAGATTTTGAGCTGTTTTCCTGCCCAAATATTTTTAAGATAATTCTATGATGAAAATAACCTTTGCCTTTTCTTGGGATCTGAAGACTAATTTTGTGTTAAAAAAACTGAGTTTGCAATAAAAATACCATTTGGAAAGTATGTGTAAGTATCATGTGTAATGTGCAACAACATTTGAAACCTTTTAATGGGTCTGAATACCTTTGCAAGGCACTGTAACAGTTAGCAGAAATCTAAAGACTTATGAAACAATTACTCTCAGTACTACAAAAGTGTAAATACAGCCATCAGAAACTGATAGTAGGAAATAAATATTACTTTCATTATAAAGATTTACCCATGTTTTTAAAGACTTGTCAAAAAACAATCCATACAACAATAATCATTCAGAACAGTTCTGTTCTCCTAAATAAATATTTTTAATCATTAACGATTTAAGTTGGCCTGCAAAATTATTCAACCCTTCCTAAAATATCACATTTAGATTAATTACAAGTAAATATTCTTAATTAAAATTAAATGTTAAATGTTAATGATCAAACTGAACACTATTATATGTGAAGGATGTTGGAGGACATTAAAAACTGCAAAGAAGAAATTTTACACAAAATGAAATTTATGGATAGCTTAAATATTTAGTCTCTTAGGTCAATATGTGGTGGAAGCACCTTTGGCAGCAATTACTGAAGTCAATATCTCTGAATAGATGTCTACTAGCTTTGCACAGTAAGGTGGTATCATTTTAGCCATTCTTTCTTAAAAATTCTTCGAGTTCTGATAAATACGTTGGGGATAGTTAATGGTCTACAATCATAAAGCTTCACCGTATGTTTTCCACCGGATTCAAATCAGGACTTAGACTCAGCTACTAGAGGACATTTACTCTTCTTGTCAGACCACTTAAATGTGGCTTTTGACCTTTGTTATTCAGGTCATTGTCCTGCTTAAATGTGAATTATCAACTCTGCTTTAGACTCTGGTGTTACTCAAGACTTTTTGCCTACACATTGCACATACATTTCTTTCTCAGTCCTGACAAGCCTTCCTATTTCCTGTGGACAAGAAGCATATAACATGATGCTGGGACAGATGTGTTCAGCATGACGTTACAGCCACACAGAGAACATTACACTACTAGTGTGACCCTTTAAGCTATTATGTTGCATCTTCCTGAATTCATTTGAGGTTGCCATAGCAAACGGGTTGAATAAAATCTGATTTATTTTCTACTAGCTTTTTTAGCTTTATCGGTATGGAGTTTATTTTAGTATATCTTTGTAAAAAACCCACTTTGTAAGAGTCATGATTGTAAGCTAAGATAACAACAAAACATGGAACTTTACGGCAGGGGGATAAAGAATTTTCTGGATTGCACAGTACTACTCCATTAAGTTCAAAACAGTTTTAAAAGGTTGCCACAAATTACACCAAAGTTTTGCAAGTCTTCAACTATTTTTACAATGTTACCCACCTGCTGTCATAAGTTCTCTCTTCAAAACCTGGTCCTGGTTTTCTGCACCATCTGTTTGTGTGATGCTCTCTGCAGATGTGCACTCTTTGCCCCCATCTCCTTCACCCTCCTCTCCTGTCCACACTTCTCTGACAAAATTGGCATACTCAGGATGCTTTTTAAAATCATCAAAATCCTTTTTCAGCCGTGCTCTGTAACAATCAAATCGAGGAGACTCTTATGAGCCAACATTATTATTGCAAAATCATGTTTTAGATATTTATAATGTTTTCACAATTACTTTACATTCACAGATGTCCAAAATACACAAAGGGTCATAAGTCACATGGGATGGGAAAACAAGGAAACGGATAAGTAACATTTTATTTTTGGGGGGGTAGAGGGGTTGTGGACTTTAGACCACTAAGCAACTTATTATTTCACAAAATAATTTACATCTTGTTTTGTCCTCAATGAATATTTTGTAAGTCTAAAGACTTTTCTAAATGTGCAGGGGCCTGCATAGCTGTAGATCTGTAGATCTGGTTTTGGTTTCATTGCATGATTAATATTATTACTTTTAATACAGTGATTTGTGAAAAATGTTATTCTGGTCGTACAGGCAATTTATTGCTGGGTCAGTTTAAATTTAGTTAAAATGTATGCATGTGCAGCACTTTATATACTGGAACAAGCAGAGGTTCACTCCATGTTAAAACGTTGAAAAAGAAAACATTTTGGCAGTGGAGCCTTCCTCAGGTATTTGGGGGAATAAGGGAAATCAGCAGGAATATGTTGTGACTATTATTCCTTCTCTTTACTCCTACTCATAGAATTTTGCAGCAATCTGAAATGTGACTCTAAAACAATTTATTTTAATCTTGAATGTGTTCCTGTCTAAAAACCTCCATAACATGTTTTCCAGCTGTTTTCCATTACTCCGCTGCATCCATTTTCAGTGTTTTCCCTCAGATGTTGCAATCTGTTTAAGGCATATTAGAAAAGACCTCAAAAACAGCACATCAAATGCTGACCAAATGCAGAAAAAAAAATCCAATGTTCAGGTATCCCTTCAGCATCTTTTCACATATTACAGAAAAAAGAGCTAGATAAAGGGCTCATTACAAAAGGAAAATAAAAAATAAGCTACAAAATAATAAAAATAATACAAAGCAAGTCCCATGATCCTCTTATTTTTTCAATGGGAGTGGAAACTGAGCTTAAGGCAGCAGTGTGACCTAAAGGTATGGCAAAACCACCAGATTGTCCTTAGAAGACTCCTACTCAGTTATTAGACCCTGTAAGTCTTGATGTGCAAAAAGGTACAGGTGCTGACTAAATAGACAGATTGGTAATTAATCAGAGACAGGTGTCAATCAACATCCACAGTTGGTAAAGAGCAGTTTACATATGCATTTGGAATATCTCTTAAAATCTGCCAGGTGATGCTTCCATCTAACTTTTAAAGCAAAATGCACAATAATTATATTACTTCTTCACATCCCCAGTTATGTAATCTTAGGTATGTTTCACCAGAATACCCTCAAAGAGCAGAAGGCTCCAGAGATTAAATGTATTTATTTGCCTTCCAATTTTGCCTTACTTGTTCCTCTTCTTCTACTTGCACACTAAAGCACTTAGCATTTAAATGTAAGAAGAACTTAAACATCACTAGCGTGTCAAAGAGTTTCTTGTTAAGTTAATCTAAATAACATTTATATATATTATAAGATTCTGTTATTGAACTATACGGTATATATTTAATATATATTTATTATGGGACCTTAAAGAAGTGCTGTTAAATTAATATAAACAAATTGGAAGTCAAATACATAATCTTTGGCACAGTATAGCTTAAACACTATTCAAAAGTGGAAAAACTTTTCACACAGCAGTTTCTAAACTTATTTAATGTTTTAATTAAAACTGCAAACTGTGATGATATTTTGAGTCTGTTTTCAAACTGTTTGAAGGTTAGAAATTTAACCAAGAAATGCTGAACATTTTATTCTACTACATGTTTTTCTACTAGTTAACTATTTTTTATAAAAAATAAAGTAGTTGCATATGTGGGCAATCGTCACAAGCAGGAGTCTTTCATTCTGTGGTTAGGTGGCCTGTGTACTTATGGATAGTAAAAATGCAAAATAATGAAAAGATTCAGTCATCAGTTACTAAATATTATCACCATTTTGTGGTTAATTTAGGTATTTTGTAAAATTATTTAAAAATAAATATCACAACAACCATGATACTGCACTTACATATTAACCTTAATAATGTGCAGCACACCCAGCCAAAGAGCAACCACCCCATTTCCCTGACATGCCATCATCTTAGACTCCAGGGGGAGATAGGGAAGCATTTTGAACAAAAGTATTTTTCATTTTCTGTCCAAAAAACCAATGCAGTACCATTGCATTGCAGCATTGCTAATTTATAAGCAAATTTGTCATTTTGAGGTTCTGACCAAATTAATAACTTAACATTGGTTTTTATTGTTCTGGACCTCACAGTGGAATCTTTTATGTGTTATGTGAGCACCTGCATATATCCACAAATTATTTTTACAAAAATATCGAATTTATGTATTGGCATAATCAATCTTCCAATCTAATGCAATGTATATATTCAACATTTCTCCTTCTGTTGCATCAAAGAATGTCCCATGACACATTACCTGTTTCTGTGGAAGGCTTTTACCAGCTTGGGCTCCCAGGGTGTCAATTCATTAAGCAGCCTCATCAGAGTGCCATGTAATTCCTTCACAGCTTGTCTCCTGAAGTACCATTTCCCCTACAATAAACATCATGTGCTCTCATCAGGGTGACAAGCAACAAGAATTTTCAACTTTGTTTTCCATTACAGATGTATCAATACTTTTCTCTTCCAAAAGTTGCAGGCCTGAGATTCTACACAAAAAAACATAAGAATTCTGAGTTCAGAAGTAAAAGCGTTGAGGTTCTTGAACCTGAGTTGTTGCTGTAGAGTAACTAACTGGCTCTTAATGGCAATAAGCATTTGCATTTCAAATGAAATGCTTTTAATTTTCAGACTGTCAATTGCAACTTATAATGCTTAAGTGCATCTGTGGAGCTACAAAAAAAACACTGAGGAGAATGTGTCAATGTTTTATGGGCTAATGTAGCTGACAGAAAAACAGTGAAGTATCCATTAATCAAACCAAGAGGGAAAAGTAAAGCATTTGAGCACTTGGAGAAACTTGCCTGATGATACATTTTCTATATATTCCCTCTGTGCTACAATAGTATTGTGTAACAAAAGATGGCCTATGTGAAAGCACAGACTAATAGAAGTTTTAATTTTACACTTCTTTGATTATTGGTTGAAGCCTGGTTAATTAAATATACATGTCAAAAGAAAATCCAACTTGAAATTCAGTCGTGGCCAAAAATATTGGCAGCCGTGCACATTTTTCAAATAATGCAACATTTCTTCTATAAAACTATTGAACTGAAAAAATATTTTTATATCCACATATATGTATTTCTTTGGTTTCCAGTGGAACAAAACAAAAAAAGCTGCATCATTTACTAAATCTTAGCTTATTCCACAGGAAATCCTAAAATGGCCCGGACAATATTATTGGCACCTAATACAAGTAGTTAGAAATAATTAGACTTCAATCAAGTGATTCTTCTTTACTTTGGAATTGAACCCACCTGAGGTGAGATGCAGCTGCCTGCAATATATAAATCACTCATTCAACCAGTTTGAGTAGGGAAAAGGATTATAGCCAAGCATGGACAATCTCAAGCCTACAAGTCCATCTCCAGAGACCTTGATGTTCCTTTTTCCACCATAAGTAATGTTCTGAAGATGTTTAAGGCATATGGCACTGTAGCCAATCTCACTGGACGTGGCCACAGGAAAAAACTTGATCAAAGATTGCAGGGAAGGACTGTTCGAATGGTGGAGAAAACACCTCGATCAACTGCCATACAGATTCAAGCTGACCTTCAGACACAAGGCACGACAGTTTCAACTCACACCATCCGTCGCCAACTCAATGAAAGGGGGTTATATGGAAGGAGACCCAGGAGGACTCCACTGCTGAGAGAGACATAAGAAAGCCTGACTGCAATTTGCCAAAACACACCTGAACATGCCAAAATCCTTCTGGGAGAATGTCCTGTAGACAGATGAGACCAAATTAGGATTTTTGGTAAAGCACACCATCTCTATATACATTTACAGAAAACCAAATTAAGCCTTCAAAGAAAAGAACACCTTCCCTACAGTGAAACATGAAGGAGGTTCAGTGATGTTTTGGGGTTGCTTTGCTGCCACTGGCACTGGGTGCCTTGAACGTGTGCATGGCATCATGAAATCAGGAGAATATCAAGGCATTTTGGAGCGCAGTGTCATACCCAGTGTCAGAAAGCTGGGTCTCCATCGAAGGTCATGGATCTTCCAGCACGATAATGACCCCAAACACACTTCAAAAAGCACCCAGGAGTGGTTCAAGATAAAACGCTGGACTGTTCTGAAGTGGCCAGTAAAGAGTCCAGATCTAAATCCCATTGAAAACCTGTGGAGAGATCTGAAAACAGCAGTTGGGAGAAGGCACCCTTCAAATCTGGGAGAACTGGAGCAGTTTGCACAAGAAGAGTGGGCCAAACTGCCAATACAGAGGTGCAGGAAGCTCATCGATGGGTATAGGAAGCGCTTGATTGCAGTTATTTTTACCAAAGGCTGTGCTACCAAATATTGAGTCTGGGGTGTCAATAATTTTGTCAATGCCATCTCTTTTTATTTTCTGATTTAAAGGATATATTAAGTTCTGAATCAAAAACAAAGGTTCTGCAATATTAACAGTGAAATAAAGAATTGTGGAGACCAAATACTGAGGTCAGTTTCAACTTATTTTTAGTGAAAATTGTGAGTTATTTGCAAAAAGTGCAAGGGTACCAATATTTTGGGCCACGACTGTATTCCTGAGACATGCATAGCATTACAACACCAATTATTTCATCAGTATATTTTTTAGATTTTACACTATACAGACAATTCAAAAGTAGGCAATAGTGAAATGTGCAGAATGTCCAAAATTACTGCTCTTGAAGTGTAAGATTAATACTGGCATAGAGGCTACTGACCTCTGCAGGCTCAGGCACTGGGAAGAGCATTAGCTGTCCAAATTTACTATACACCATACATAATGTAAACAGAACAACGTTATGCAAGCAAAATTAAGAGTTAAGTCACCTTCTCTGAACAAACCATATTTTTAGTGTTTATTTTTCAGTGAAGGAATGGGTGGCTTGGGTGGTCTGACCATTGTGTTGGTACTTTTAGGCTCTGGAGTTTCATTCCTATCTGTCCCAACAACAGGACATCCCACCTCACTGCCTTCCCACAGAAAGAGTGGCTTTGGAGTCACCCTTCCTCCTTCCTTTTAAAAATTAATTGGTTGAAGGATTGCCCAAACACACATGCTCACCTGTACGATTTATTAAACAGTTTCCCATATCAATATAACTGAAGGGTATTAATTGTCTTCTAAAGTTGAAACAAGGTTTTTAGGAGGAAAATAGAATGAATGTTTCATGAGTTTAAAACTTGTGATAAGCACAAGAAAGAAATCAAGGTGTTAGCTAAAGAGGGCTACGTGTACCCACAGATTGTACCCCACCTTCATGTTTCACCCTGAGCCATAGGCAAGACCCTGCAGGAGAAATTGTGAAACTGGTACTACCTTGAAAACAATTCAACCTATCTAGAAGTGAAGTACTTCAGAGTACATTCTCTGAGCAATAGGACAATCCAGGAGACCTTACTGCACATACAGATGTTTATGTTTCTTCACGAATTGCAATTTCAAATGAATCACTGGTTCAGTGGATTCTAAACCACTATGTCATTCCCTGGGGAATGTCTCTTACTGGGCATCGGTATGGTACCAAGAGCCTTTAGAACAGCTGCCATTAGCTCTGTGCCAAAAACACAAATATGGCTCTGGATGACCTTAACAATTTTCTCCCTATCCTCATTATTCTCATGCAAAAATTTGGGAATAGCTGTTACAATTCAGTTAAATAACGCGGTTTTCGAACCACTCCAATTTGGTTTCAGACAACTACAAGGCACAGAAACTGCCCTGGTTAAAGTCACTAACAATCTTTTTATGCCTTCCAATTCAGGTTCTCTATCTATCCTTATTCTCCTAGACCTCAGTGCTGCTTTTGAAACCATCAACCATGACATTTTACTTTCTTGCTTTGAGACTGCATTTGGAGTTTTCGACATTGCTCTTAAATGTTTAAGTCTTACCTTAATTTTGAAATTGGACTTCTTTAGGCTGGTGTTTTTCAAGGCTCAATACTGGTCCTCCTACTATTCAGCATTTACAGGTTTCCACTTGGTCAGCTATTAAATTCACATGATCTATTTATTATTTCTACGCTAACGATAATCAAATCCATGCTAACCCTCACACAAATGGCTGTCTCTACACTGACTCAAAATTTCCTTCATTTAAACTATGACAAGACTGAAGTCATGCTTCTCGGCAGCTCCCATCAACTTTGTAAAGCCAATGCAGTAATCCAATCTGCGGATTGCACCTTACTTGAATTTCAATCTAAAATTAATGAACTTTGGGGTGATATTTGATCCAGGCTTGACGTTTGACCCACATGTGCAAAATATTGTAAAAACATCTTCCAGCTAAAAAATATTACCAGACTACATTTTATGTCGTCACTGTTTCTGAAAAGCTAGTCAACATTTTCATCTTCTCTCGAATCGATTCCTGTAACTCCATACTTGCTGGGGTATCTAAATCCAAATTGAACTGCAGCAAGTCCAGAATTCAGCAGCCAGAATACTGACCAAGTCTAGAGCCAGTGATCACATTACATCTATCCTAAAGTCCTTGCACTGGCTTTCAATCAGTTCCTGATTGACTTACTATTGTCCTACTCCCCACCTCAAAACCTTTGTTCATCGTCATTCATTGAAAAAAACAAGATGTCAGGCTCAAGCTCTGAATAAAAAAGGGTTCACATACCAGAAGTGAACTCCTTAACACTCCATCTTTGCATATTTTTGTTATAATAGATTGTGCTTTTGTCTATGCAAATGTGCATCATTTATATCCTTAAAAAATATTTATTTTTCAATATATGCAGTGCTGGTAGAACTTTATAATTATCTGTACAATTCTCTATAAAGTAAAGAATCATAAAATAATGATATGAATTATCATTCATTAGAAACAACTCACAATCAAGTCAGTACAAAGAAATTACCATCAACTATCAAGCACACATAATGGATTAAGATATCTAGTTTTAGGAGACTCCTAGGGTGAGGTGTACATACTGTACAGTGTTTACATATCTGTCTTGATCAGGACCCTATGGTATGAGTCCACAAGAGGGAGCCACAGCAAAGCAAATAAGCAGAAATGTATGCTCCTAGTTTCCAGTATCGATACATAACTACCAGAAGGCTGGCTTACACATATACAATATCTGAAAAAAGAACAAAAGCAGAGCATTGCCTTTCATGCTTACAGATTTCTTTCGAGCATTTTCTAGTTCCTTCAGTTCTTCCTCAGTTTTCTTGATCAACTTCCTGAGTTCATCGAGATTTGTACATACCAGCTTTAAAAAAAGAAAAACAGGATATTTTGACATGTGAACAAAATTCTGATCAAATCCGCTGTCATTGTACCATCTCTCTGTCGCTTTGTGAGCAACTCTTTGCTGGCCAATCTGGTTATATATTATTTAGAACAATAAATACATTATTTTAATGTTTAGATTTCCACCCCAGGTCTTTAAATCTCCAAACATTTGACCTGTGACTTTTTTTTAACGTAGCACTCTCTGACATGCTCCTTGTCAGCACAGAACCACATAACACAGATGATGCACTGCCCAATGCTACTTGCTGATTCATGGCGTAATTAGACCATGCTGATGTTTGACAGATTTGACATACTCCAATGCTACTACTTGTGTTAGATTAAAAATGCTTACCTGAAATGTGGGTTCAGCTGGGAGCTTGGGACCAGTTTTTCTCTTCTTTGCAGTAGTCTTTCTGGAGTCAGATTTTTTTCCTATTGAAATACAAGAATATTGGACACGAACAACATGCTAATGTAACTTCACCTTCAGATGGCCAAAATAATGAGCATTAGTTTGCATGATACCAAATGTTAACAATGTAAAATAATTATGTTTACAAATTACACATTTTGTGTAATAAATAAAGTTTATTTTTAATATTAATTTACTATTATTTTAACCACTTTCATTTTACAGTATTGTCCAATACGAGGCATATTAACCTCAAATGCCAAATACTCAGTCCAGGTTAATGCACTAAATCTACATTTTTTTCTACGAATAAATAGAACCATTGATATCACTCTTACGTCAAACCATACATATCAGAGATAACTTGTTGTTTGTAGGGTTATTTCTGTTGACGGGGTCTATCTTTACAACAGTAAGCCAGGTGCATGTAAGGAGGGAGAAGGCTGATAGATGGAGCAGAGAAACGCCACAAAATATCTCCTGCAGCAGGAATCACAAGTAAATATTAGCCTTTTATGTTATTTTTGCTTCAAATGCCAATCATTTTTAAGTGATGACTGGTGTTAGTGTTCACTATCCAGACTCATATATGGAAATTAAGAACAATGTATGTAAAATAAAATTAAAGGTTTAAATAATTATTCTCTAAACATGGCTTTGTATGTAGCCATCTCAAATGGGGTGAAATGGGCACAAAATTGGAAATTTAAAACCTCCAAGCTCTGAAATTCAACACAAATCAGAAGCAGACTGTAATTTGTTATCCCTTTAACATTGCTGAAGTACATAATAATCTGTCTGTTACCATGTTAAAACAAGTCTTTAAACAGTTACACAAGTAACAAGGAAATCCAGCTCTGCACTAGCTGCAGTAAGAGCGGGAGGTGACTGCATCAATCTTTTTATGTTATTTTGTGTATATTAATAAAATATTAAAGGAACAGGTAAAGGTTTATTCCATGCTGAAAGGAAAAGACATATACGACTGAAGAAGACACCACAGCCGAAAAAGTTGCATCTCTTTTCTTTTCCTTTCAGCATAGAATAAACCTTTACTTGTTCCTTTGCAGCCTACGCATGCTGACGTAGCTACCCACCTGAACATCTTCAATAAAATATTAATATAGTGTCTTGCATGAAAATACCTGCAAGAGGATGTAAACACATTCCAGGTTGTTTTCTTACAATACTAAAAAACAATAAAAATATGATTTGCCAAAAACTACTTTCACAAGTATTATAGTTAAATGCTTAGCCTTTAGACATCAAAACACTAAGAGTACAAAGATGTAAAAAAAAAAAGGAGTCTCACCTGACTTGCGCTTCTTTCGTTTGTCTTTTTTCTTAGCAGTGGCGATTGCCTTCTGATGATCAGGCCTTGAAGTCTTGGATAAGTTATGTCGCACCCCGCCGAGCTTATTCTGCCCCTCTTTCAACCCCAGCTCCTTCAGTTTCTTTTTCTTCTTCTTTTTTTTCTTGGTACGCATTCGGGTACCCTTCCCCTCAACCAGGCCATCCTGGGCAGAGTGCTTGGGAGATACCCCATTGCGTTCTGGGGACGCTGGGCGGCTGTGGTGCTTGTCTTGGTGACAGTGAAGATTAATATGAGAGCCACAGGAGGCACAAGAGTTTTGGGCCAGCAGAGGTACTTTGTTATTTACAGAGTGGACCTCACCAGGACTCAGGGGTGGCTGTAAGCCTGTGAACTCAGGACTCCCCAGTGTCTCTGGGCTCGTTAAATTGACCTCACAGTTCTTCTGATCACCACCTGATGAAGACTGTGTGTTGCTGTAATTCATTGGGACACATTCAGAAAATGCCATTTCCTCTTTAATCTCGAGATTGTGTTCAACTTCCATATGTACCATCTTCATTATCTTAGAATCCTCCTCAGATTCCTCCTTACATGACAGGCGGTTGTAAATATTGTTTTTTTTATCAGATTGACTGTCTTCACTAGATTCTGATTTTACCCTGATATTGTCCCAGTTTGGACACCCTTCAGTCAATGAAATCTCTTTTACGAGGGGTGCCTGGATACACGCAGATCCAGTTTCATCATTGTCCTCTTTCACATTTTCAGCACCATCATCAGTCCTTTGCTCTCTGCAGTTCTCCTTCGCAACGGTGCACCAATTAGCGGTAAGCCTTGCCTCTCCGCTTTTGGCAGTAGCCTCTTCTTGGTCTTGCCTCCTCACACAGATGGCTGGCATGGGAAACTCTGGTGAGGCACTGGGGCTCTGGCAGTAGATGCGCAGGTCGGCCCCACAGAAGTGTGGGAAGTGGATGTAAGCGTTCTCACGTCCATCGTATCCCAAGATGGACTCCCGGCATTCGTGGATCGGCTGACCCAGCACGGCGTCCTGCACCTCTTTCTGAGTTTCATACACCCAGTCACACAGGCCCTTGAGCAGCCACACCCGCTGGTAGAAAGGAAGCAGGTGGAAGGGCCTCTCTTCCAGAGGAGTGCTTTTGCCAAGAACCCGGAAGAACTGTGGGCACAGCCCCAGCTGCTCGGCACAAGCTGACACGTCCTCAGCCTGCCCCATGAGCCGATACCACCCTTTTACTTTCTGCCGGAGGGCAGCTTCCCAGCTACAATAGGTCAGGGCTGGGCGCCGGTGCAGGGTGGCCCTTCTCTGAGGTTGGCTGAGGAGAGAGGTCATGACCTTGGCCAGAAAGGAACTGCATCGAGGCATGAGAAGACAGCGCTCCAGCTCAAAAAAGACAATCTCTGGGAGGTTGAGGGCCTGCTGTGCCAGGCATAGAAAGTGGCCAATGGCTGGCAGCTCCCACAGGGTCTCCATGGACTGTGGGTGAGCCTGGGCAAGCAGGCTGCGCTCCCAGTCCTCTAGCTCCTTGGTGGTCGCCTCCTCTGCCTCTTTCCGCTCCTGTTCGCGTTGCCTGAGGTACAAAGAGAAAACTTTCAGAACAAAAAAACACAAAAAACTTACAAGCAAATTTACCCATTATAATAGATTATCACAATTTAATTGAAAAACATACACAAAAGTTTGGATATCTGCAGCACTGCAACAAATACAGTGAATATAAAAAATCTACCCACCCTTATTGAAATTTCAGCCTTTGTTTGATGTAAAGGCTGAAATCTAGATAAATCAAATAGATCATTATAAGAAAATAAAATAATTAAAAATAAAAAATGTCCAACATGATTTTTCTTGATTTCAGCTGAACCCTGAGCTTCAGTTACACTATAGTAGCTACAGTACACAAAGCAAAAAAAGTAATCACCAGCATGATAAATGTTGAAGTTACCTCCTTACACATTACAAAGGAAATTAACTTTTAAATTGTGAAAAAAACTTTCTAATGTATCTCAAGCTTGTTTCAGAAAATATCTGTTAGAAATTCATTCATGGGGACGTCCTAACACAAAATGGGTTCAGCAATATAGAATAAACAAGGCATTACCATTTAAGTTGCAAAAGACCACTGCAATTAAATTTATTATATGATTATAGACAAAACAAAACTGTCTGTCAGTCTGAGAAAGCAGCCAGCGTGATGATAAATGCTCCCTGAAAAGGCAGTAATGTTTCTATGAATTTTAATAAAAAGACAAGGAGTAAAAACTTACACAACAAAAATGGGAATGATTCTATTAATTTTAATAAAAAACGGTAAAAACATACAAAGTAAAACTGGGAATATTTCTATGAATACACTATGTTTGCCATGAATGTAATCAGTTGCTTTAAGAGAAATTCTAAGTGAGTTGTGATTTTATGCTTGCTTTTTTCCCTTTTAACTTTTTTCTTTTTGTTTTAATTAAAAAAGAAGGTAACTAATACATCACAGTTATTGAGAGACTAATGTCTCTGTGCCACTGGTATGGTAGAGCAGCAACTCAAGTGGTTTCCCCATCAGTGGAGAAGAGTTCTCTTTAGTGGTGAATTAAGATTTTGTGTAGACCACCCTTATGGATATCAGTAAGTGAGGAGTAGATGCAGTAGACACTAACTGGTGTGAGCAACAGACCAGTCATTGTCCAGGTATGATGGGGATTTATGGCAACCTAACTTCTAGCGTTATGCTGATCTGAGTCCTGGGTCCTCAACTGTTGTCTTTCCTGGGCATCATCCTGATATAAGAACATTCCAAATAATGCATAATCCTTAGTGGGTCCTGAAACTGTGGTTTTGTAGACAGGAAACATTGAACATTTGTGAGATGAGCTGGGATGACGTTTGGCACCAAGAGGTCAGAGACCGGTGAACAGCCACATGCTTGTCCAGGCATAAGTGAATAATAAGTGAATCCCAGAAGACACCATTTGCAACCTGGTCCAAAGCATACATCACAGGTGTACAGTACATCTTGTACTGCTTCCAGCAGTGATTACACATGCTATCAGCCAGTGACGTTGACAGTAGAAGCCCTGTTCACGATCTTAACCAGTATAATAAATGTATCTATGATATATCCTTTAAATAAAATTCAATGTTAGGAAACAAAAATTATAAGATCCCTGTTGATTAACTGTTGATACTTTTTTCTTGATGATATCTATAATACTGCATATATAAAATACTGTTTGTATCTTCTCTTCTAGTGATCTAGAATTAACCTACTCTATTGTGGAAATCAAACTTTACCTGTACTTCATAGACATAATTCATTCTATTGTTTAAATTATTTTTATATCACATAAAATTCCTATTCAGCAATTCTCTAAATAGAACTGGCAGAAGGTACAGACTCTAAATTTTAAAACACGAATTGGTATATTGTAAAAGAATATTATGTCATGCTAATTAGTGAAATATAAATAGTATTATAAATAAATTGTACAAAACAAATTCATTTTTACTATTCTTCGAAATGCTGATATTTTTAAGCATGCATAATATACAATGCATGAAATGCTTAAGTGACTGGATTGTGTGACATTCAGAAGAGTTTTAACTTATGCGTGCTGTAAGACCCTCGTACTGATGAGATAACTTGAAACTGGAAGCTGGATCCAGTAGCAGGCTCTTAGCTATAGATGTGCATTGCGGCCATCAAGAAAGAATATTTCAGGTGTACATCATAATTACGTAATAATTAGCATGAATTTATGATATGCATGTACATATGGTACCTCATATGTACATAAAAATTATGTCATTTACCAGATAAAAAATTATCTTGTTATTATGAGACAGTAAATTATGTACTTTGTGTTAATCATGCGATAGCACAATCGCCATGCAATACCTACATTACTGTTAGTTGACTTTCAGTTTTAAGTAGTGGAATCGAGTACACAATACAGCCATTCTTGTTTAATTATACATTTTAGTGCTTACGACAATTCTGTTCAAATAAGATAAATATCACAATATTTCATTATGACCAAATTCATGCCATGAATACTAAACCAAAAAGCTACATCTGAGTTATCTGTAGCTTCTAGTTGGTGTCATTGCACAATATAACAGGTTGTTCATGCACTCAAATAATCATTTTATCTCATATGTACACAATAATTTACTAATAACATATTTATTTGAAAATATTAGTGAATCATTTCATAAAATACTTGATAATTACACAATGTATGCAACAATACAACAATGTGATATGTTATCATATTATTTTTAAATATCTAACTTCATAAATCATGGGTACTGGTGTCAATATGTTCAGCTGCTTTGTGCAACACTTTTAAACTCAAGGTACAATTAAGAGAAAAGCAGGAATTCCAGATTTTAACTGGAATT